GGGGGGGGGAGGAGTGGCTCCAAGGAGGGGGGCGCAGGGAGATGAAGGGAGACGCAGTGAGATGAAGGGAGACGCAGGCAATGAGACAACCAGAAACAGACCTTGTCACGGAGCTGAGAGCACAGTCGGGGCTGCTGTTTCAGAGGAAGAAACGGAGGGTCCAGGAGGTTCCGGGCTTGCCAAGACCACAGGCCTGTATGTGGTAGCCGAAGCCAGACCATCTGACGCCGAGGCATTACGCCCGATGGCTGCTGTCATAGGACACATGCAGACCCACGACCTTCAACCCAAACCCTGGCCCAGCTGTCCGTCGAAATCCAGAAGTCTCCGGCTTAGGACGTCTGTGCAGTGCACGTGGCGTGGTCTGTGACACCCCAGAGGACCTGGGACAGCACACAGCAACCGAACATGCTAACACAGCATGACACAACTACATCCATGTTTCTGCAGCAAAACAGCTCCGTGGGCGAAATAAGGAGCTATTAGTAGCCTCGGTTCAGGTGAGGTTTTGCTACGAAATCGGGTCACATTTTGATGCCAAATTAGTTACCAAAATAAACAAGAACCAGCTTTCCCTTTGCAGAGCCTTTAGGATTTCCACTAAAAGCCTGGGGGGCACATGTTATAGCTTCTGGAAATGACGGCTCTGAAGACAGGGGCAGAGAAGCCGGCTGGTCACGGCGTTCACAGCTGGGCATGGCCCAGACTCGGGATTCGCAGCCACGGGCCCTGGTACTGGGGGCACACACTGCTCCTTGGTGAGGGAGCCCAGCAGCTAGAGACAGCTGACAACCTGGGGAAAGCAGTGCCGGAGCCCAAGTCCACAGCCAGGTTAGAAAAGGCCGCAGAAGCCCAGCTTCAGCAAATACGCCACCAACGCAAGTGTTCCTCTGGGCTCTCACGCTGCCCGTGCTGGGCGGGGTTGGCTTTGAAAACGTGGCCAGAGGCAGAGAAGTTAAAGATGGGGAAGACAGAAAAGCAGCCTCCTTTAAGTTCTCTTTTTAAATCACCCTAGTATTCTTCCTCTGCTTCAAGTCCTCCGGGGGTGGGGGGGGTCCCACCTCATTTAGGATAAAACCCACAGGACTTTCCAAGGCCCTATGATCCAGTCCTCCTCAGGGGGCCTGTCCTCCGCCCCCACCCCTGCCCACACCTCAGTGCCCGGGCGAACCCATGAGGGAGGCAACCAGTGGATGTGTGTCTCTCTGAGATGGATGTTTCTCTCTCTCTCTCCCTCTCCCTCCCGTTCACTCTCTCAAAAATCAAAACAAAAACAAAGGCAAGAGAAGTAATACAGGCCTCGTGTTTCTTTCAGAGCAACTAGTATGATTAAAGCTGCAGCCACGATGGGGCTTACCCAAATACCATAGAGACCAACCTGATACCCAAGCAAACCTAGGCCTCCCTCCAGTGGTCGGATGGATTTCTGCACTGGCCACTTCCCCGGCTTAGAGACTCTGCCTCCTGCTTTTGCAACAAGCCAGCCAGGAATCGGAATGTGGTCCTTGGCTTTCCAGAGTCTACTTTCCGTCACTCTTACCTGCTTCCTCCATTGTCCCTGGCCTCTGGCCTCCGAGTCCTACCCCTTGCCAGGCCGCGCTCTCATAGATTTGCATGACCAAATCCGTCAAGTCCAAACGTTAATATCAATAATAACTTACATCTGTCCAGCAACAGAAGGTTCACAGTGTGCTTTTGCATAAATTACCTAATTGAATCCTATCCTTGTGGGATGGATATACCCGTTTTATAGGTGAGCAGGTTTGAGTGGCCAAGAGGGAAAGGGACTTACTCAACATCACAGTGAGTGAGATACGGCGCTGGGAGCTTTTCCATCTACACTGCCGGAAGGGGGGAATTGGTTAGTCCCACCAAAACCACACGCATGCTCCCTTGGTCACAGGTCTGAAGGTGAATGCGGGAATGGCTGTTCCCAGGGTCCTGTGTGAAATGAAAATCTGGGGCCCCTTTTCAAGAATTCCAAGATGGGACAGTAGTGTGAGAGAGTGCACACAGGAAGGGCCCACGGGCAGACCATGAATAAAAACAGAAGTCTGAACGCAGCCTGCAGCAACCTGCCCGGGAAACCTCCTCCCCACCGCAGGAGCCAGCCTGCTTCACGTTAAGTCGCTCTTGTGGAGAATCAGGCTGCCAACCCTGGTGACAGTCCGGCAACCTCTGTAACAATAGGCCTCCGATGGCCTGACTTGATCAGTAACTGACAGCTTCCCTAGTTTCTGTTCCTGCTTCCAACTCAGGACCAACCAGAGAAAGCCCAACGTAGGCCCCGAAGCCATCGGAGGGGACGCCCGCCCGGCTCACCCGCCTCCAGCTGCACGGGCTGCGTTTTAATGGAATTGCTGAGCTGGTTTACAGATCTGCTCCTTCGACTTTCATTTCTCAGGTGGAAACTGCTCCATCCCGAGACTGTGCCACCCCATCGGGCCCTCTCGCCAACAGGGTAATTGGCAGGTGATGCTCTGAGCTATTGTGTGGAAACGCAGCTGCGACTTACTTTCCCGACACTGTTATCATGGTTCCCGGCCCACAGTGAACAGGCCACGCGGCTAACACAGCCTGGGTTCCAGGGAGTCACGCGGTCTTTCTTGCAGTGTTCGCCACGGGATAGATTCCTGCTGTGAACTGCAAGTCTGCCCTCTGCTGGGCCCGGGCATCTGTCCTCAAGGTCATTTCTTTGCCTCCCCGCAAGCCCGCCTGCCTTCGATCTTCAGTGGGAGCTCTTACTCGCTGGAAGGCTTCAGACCTTAAATAAGCGATCAAATCCTCTTAATGAATTGCGACGGAGAACACCCACAGCCCCAACACAGGGGGCAGCTTCCCCCCGGAACCTTCCTGGGGAAAGAGCTCAGTGCTGTCCTCAGGTGCCCGGGTCACACGAGGCCTCCCCAGGAGGCGATGGCACGTGCCACTGGCTGTGGGTGGTGCTGTCTTAGACAAAACCATGCTAACCCCGGAGGGTCAAATGTAGGGGTGCAGGGCCCAGCTGCCCACATGCCACTCCCACGCGTGCAGAAAAAGTGTGGCTGCTGCGGGTGACTATGAGTGAAGGAGCTCTGTGAAGAATGAAACTCATCACGTGCCACTGTTGGTGGCCCCCTCCCCCCCGACATTATGGTGGTCACGTCACTGCAGGAAGATTGCTGGGGAACACGGCCACGCGCAAGGAGGGAGGGCAGGGCAGTGGAATGACGCATGCCCCAAAAAGGCAGTGCACGTAGTGATTAAACACAAGGGTCTTGTACCAGGCTGCCTGGTTACCCATCTGTCCTACCCTTGCTGCCCATGTACAAGTTAGAAAATTGCCCTGTGCCTCAGTTTCTTCACCTGTGAAATGGGGAGGGTGCTAATAATAGCACTTACCTTATAGGACTGTGGTGAGGCCTAAATGTGTTAACGGTGGGATGTGCTTGGAATGGTGCCCGGCTCCTACGAGGTACTCAGCAGGACTGCTCTCTGGGGCCAGACTGTCTACTGGGAACCTGTTTAGATGACCTGAGATACATAT